AATATCTTTGCGAATGATTTATACGACGATGATTTATTTATTTTTAATGAACCTGACTCTCCATACTTTGATACTAAAACTTTTAAAGCTGAACTTCATAACAATATAGATAAGTTTAGGGTAATACACATAAACATCAGGAGCTTAAATACAAATATCGATAAGTTAAAAATTTTCCTTTTCGAATGCAAATATTCCTTTAGCATGATTTGTCTTACAGAAACTTGGTGTTCTGACGAAAATTCTTATACAAATTCAAACCAAATCCCTAATTATAATCTTATTTCTTATGAAAGAAAAGCTAGCAAAAGAAGAGGTGGAATAATAACCTATATCCATAATGACTTAAACACAAAAATTAGAAATGATCTTTCTATTTCTGATTCAAACAGCGAGGTCTTTACAGTTGAAGTCATTAATGATACTACAAAAAATCTCTTAATATCCTCTTGTTATAGACCGCTTGATGGAGATATTATAATGTTTTCAAGTTTTATGAAACAAATATATACAAAAAGCAATGTTGAACATAAAAAGTTATTCTGTATTGGTGACATGAACATAAATTACCTAAGCTATCATGAACATGCTAATACCAAAATTTTTTTCGATGATATGATACAACATTACATTTTCCCAATTATAAACAAACTCACCCGGGTAACTCCCACCTCAATTACAGCTATTGACAATATATTGACAAATTCAATTCAAGATCCATCCTTAAAAATAGAAATAATTAAAACGGATATATCTGACCACTTCCCAATTTACTTCTCACTATCACAACAAGCAACACGTGTCAATAACTTGAAAATAAAAATCATCAAAAGAAGCATAAATAAATTTTCGACCCAAAAACTAAAAGACTCACTAGCGGTAGTGAATTGGTCAAAAATATATCATGAATGTAACCTCGGACGCACAAATTCCGCTTACAATAAGTTTATAAATATTTTCCTAAATCTCTACAATAAACATTTTCCAAAGATCGAAAAAGAAATTAAAGTAAAATAAACAAAGAAATAAGAAAATCGTCAAAACAAAAACAAAATTTCTACATAAAATATCTAAAAAATAGAAACGATATTAATTTGTCTAAGTATAATCAATATAAAAATCTATTTGAAAAAATAAAATTAAAATCCAAAAAACTATACTTTTCAAAGCAAATACAAAAATTTAAAGGAGATAATAAAAAAATCTGGGATATTATAAAAGAAATAATTGGTAAAGATAAAAAAAACTCGAACCAACTACCTCCAAAAGTTCTCATAAGTGAAAAAGAGTTTAATAATAAAAAAATTATCTCTGAAAAATTTAAAAAATACTTTGCAAACATAGGTTTCAAACTCGCCTCTAAAATTCAACCTACAAACAATTCATTTTAGAATTACATCGAGGACTCTCGTTGCTCCCTAGTTTTTAAAGAACTAGAATACAAAGAACTTGAAACAGCAATTAAAACATTAAAAATTAACAAAAGTCCAGGTATCGACAATATCCCAGCCAATATAATTTTGAATGTCTTCCCAGAAATAAGTAAACCCATTTTTCAAATATTTAACTCTTCAATAATTACAAGAATTTTACCCGACTATTTAAAAATAGCTAAAACTATTCCTATCTATAAATCCAGAGATACATCCTCCTTAAATAATTACAGACCAATATCAATCCTTCCCGTATTTTCAAAACTGCTCGAACGAATAATCTACAATCGTTTATATAAATGCCTAACCACAAACAAAACCCTGAATAAAAACCAATGTGGTTTTCAAACTCAGCACTCGACAGAGCATGCTATCGTAGACCACGTCAATAGGATTAGTGAATCAATCTATGAAAAGAAGTTCGTATTAGGAGTCTTTGTAGACTTGTCAAAAGCGTTCGACACAATAAATCATGAAATCCTACTAAAAAAGTTGGAAAAATACGGATTTAAAAACCATACACTGCAGTGGTTTAAAAGTTACCTGTATAACAGACAACAGTGTGTTATTACAGATGATAATTACCACAGTAAATTATTAAAATTAACTTGCGGTGTTCCTCAAGGTTCGATTCTTGCTCCTCTTTTGTTCGTAATCTATATAAACGACCTTCCAAAAGTTTCTAGCAAACTTGAATTTATAATGTTTGCAGACGATACAAATTTATTTCACTCTTCGACAAACATCAAGGATCTGTATGATAATGTAAACATAGAACTCCAAAAATTAAATATATGGTTTAAAACAAATAAGTTATCCCTAAACATAGAAAAAACAAAATACACTTTATTTCACTCAAACCAACAAAGAAACACACTACCAAATATTCTACCCTCTCTAAAAATAGAAAATATAGTAAATGAGAGAACTCACGAAACTAAATTTTTAGGAGTTATAATTGATGAAAATTTATCTTGGAAAACTCACATAAATGTTTTAAACACTAAAATATCAAAAAACATAGGTCTACTTTATAAAGCAAAACCTATGCTGTCGCAAAGTAATTTAAAACTTATATATTTCTCTTTTATACATAGCTACCTCATTTATGCGAGTATAGCTTGGGCGAGTACGCATATAACCAAATTGAAAATTTTATATCGACCTCAGAAACATGCTGTAAGACTAATCTACCATAAAGACAAATTTACACACACTGAACCCTTATTTAAAGAAATGAATATGCTTAATATTTATCAAATTAATATTTAGCAAAATATATTTTTTATGCTAAAATTTAAATTAGGTCAAGTACCAAACCATTTTTTAAATAACTTTTTTATAAATAACGTTAATAAATATAACACAAGAGAAAAAGGAAACTTTATTACACCTTTTAAAAAAACAAAACTTTCCCAGTTCTCAATTTCATATCGGGGTCCTTATTTATACAACAAACTAGTAACTAAAAATAAATCAATTTGCAATCTAGATTCAATTTGCAATCAAAATTTCTTGAAAAAAAAGTTAAAAAATCTGATACTGAATCCAAACAGATACTCAGAATTCTTCTAAAACTATAAATTAAAATACATATATATCAATTACAAAGTGAACTGACTCGTTTATGTGTATTATCTAAATGATTCTTAGCATTCTCAAACAATATATCAAAAATTGTTTATTACACACAAAAAAAACACTTGATTTTTTCTTATCAAGTTTAGTTATTATGCTGCTAGTTATGTCTAATATTTTATACTGAGCTTATTTTGAGTTTATTTTTTATTATGAGCTAAATTTAAAGAATATATAAACATAGTTGTACTTAATATATAATTATATTTAACATAATCATAATAATATATCAAACACATTGTAAGGGCTTCGTGATAAGATCATTACGATCTTCTTGAAGTCCGGCCTGTACTATTTAATTATAAATTTCACTATATATTTTGACTCACGAGACTTGTAAATATTACAACTTTTAATTTACGAAATTTGTAAATGTTATATGTACGGCAAATATATGAATAAAAAAAAAAATTAGGTGGAGGAGAATAAACCACAATACCTAAATATAAATTGTAAATCGATTTTAGTTTATTTTATTTGGATACGCTGCAAATGCGAGTCAAAGAGCAATACTAGAGACTTATGTTGTAGAAATATATTTTAATAGAATGTAAACTTATCATAAAAATAAAACTTTTGGCAAAAAATATTTACTAAAAAAGTTATAAATTTAAGTTAAAATTTTATTAGAGAAAGAATATATTATAATCAGAACTGAAAACACATGCAAAAAGTAAATGCAAATAATAAGATAAAACAGAAATATTTTTAATAAAAGTGGAAATCTAAACTTGATAGCAAATATACGGAATAATTTTAGCTAAAGCATGAAAGGGGCTGTCCATTAATTACGTCAACAAATTTTTTGAAATTTTTACCTCCTTCTTTGTCAACAATTTGTCAAATTTCTAGAGACCCCCCCCCCCTCCCTATAAAATTACGTCAACTTATTATTACCCGAACCCCCCCCCCCCCCCATACAAAGAAACTACGTTACAAACTCAGCCTAATTTTCCGTTATTTAAGCAATGAAACTCAAAAAAAAAAAAATTGTTGACGTCAACTTTAATTGACCTCCCCCCTCCCCGTGTCAACAATTGTCAAAAAAGTTTGGACCCCTTTTTATTATGATATGTTATACCACGTACAACATATTATAATAAAAAGTGGTTTAACAAGTATAACTAAGTATAGCGTAAATTAATAGTGTTTCTTATCATAAAAATTACCAGTATTTTTAAAAAATAAAATAGTATAAAAAGTAAAAGTAAAAAAAAAGACAAGAAATTTTTTGTTACTTCAGATATAAAGATAAAATACTGATGAAAAAATACTGTTGTAAAGGAAAATTCGTAGAGGTCTATGAAGACTTATCATCGAGTACCTCTTTAAATGGTTAAATAAAGTCTATTTTATTTTTAAATATATTCAAAAATGATTAAATAATATACAGTCAATAATATACATAAACATTTTAGTATAATTTTTAATATAATTTTTAATGGTAAGTTTAATACATGTCGATATAATTGTTGATTATTTGGTGTTTTAATTTTTTTATTCAAGATGGGAGGATTGTTTAATACTTTAAGTTCTATATTTTTGGATATTATTTTGTTATATAGGAACGGACCCCGGTAGGAAATAGAAAACCGTGAGAACTTTTTGTTGTTCACTGTTACTCTTGTTATTTATCTATAAGAGTTTAATTGAAAAAAGTTCTCTTAAAAAAATGTAATGAAACTAGTTTTACTTCTGTTCTTTTACAAACTCGCATATTCTTTGTCCGTTAAAGCGGTTTATGATGCTTTATAGTGAGCTCTGTATGTGGCCTCTACATAGAAATTAGCAGGAAGATGATAAACCAAAATACCCAAACAGGAGTTAACTATTTTAAACCATTAATGGCTTATATCTAGTCGGTCATTTGATTTATGTACCCTCAACTGCCCCACAAAACCATATTTAAAATAATCTTATTTCTCTTACCCTTTGGAGTTTATGACCTGTTGTGTTCCAAACATTGACTAAGCTTCTGTTCTAGATTTGAACAATAATAAAAAAACTTATTCATTTAATTGCGTTTAACATCTATTACATAATACATAATAATTTGGAAGTTTCCCCCAAAAATTAACTATTCTATATAAATTTATTTTGATTATGCATTACACTATTTATATATATAATATATATATATATATATATATATATATATATATATATATATATATATATATATATATATATATATATATATATATATATATATATATATATATATATATATATATATATTTAAAAATAAAATATATTTAAAAATAAAATATATATATATATATATTCTTCTTTTTATTTATTCAAAATAAGTTTTACAATATATGAATGAATTAGATTCATAAAATACATATAGTAAAAGTTACAAACTTTGTTAGCGTTAAAATAAGAAGAACGCGGATACTCGCAGAAGATTATAAGATCTTTTCATCGAGAACTGCCTAAACAGATTTTAAATAAAAAGTAATCCTCTAATAATTCATATATAAATATTCACACTTAAATAAATATATAATTTTTTACACATTTAATTCTATAAAAACATACAAATATATATACTTATATATATAAGTTAAGAAAAAAGATTTCATATATATAAATTACGATAAAAAGATTTCTTAAGAGTATTAATATAAAACAAAAATATATAAGAATGTTTTCAATTGAGAAAAGAATTTTTTTCAACTTTCTTTTAAATAAGAGAAAGCTCCATTCTTGAGAAAAATCAAAAAGTTTTAATACTACTTTGTTCCATAAAAATGCTCCTCTAAATGAAATGCAAAACTTACCAAAATTGGTTTTAAAAACTGGTTGAAGAATAAAAATTTCATTACGCAAATTGTATTTATTTTTAACTTTTAAAGAATATAAATTGTGAAAAGAAATTGGAGGTGTGCGTGTTTTACATTTAAACATAAAACACAATACATTAAAAATATTAAGTTGATATATATTAAGAATATTCATTTCGTTTAAAAGAAGCCTAGCATGATAAAAACTATTTTTAAAATTAATAAGTCGTGCAACATGTTTCTGTTGGCGATAAAGTGGTTCTAATTTAGTTTTGCTAACACTACCCCAAGCCGCATTAGCATAGTTTAGATGGCAATGAATAAAAGAGTGATATAACTGAACTAAAGTATGTCTATTTAGCATGTTTCTTATTTTGAATAGTATCCTTATACTTTTGGAAATTTTAGATGATAAGTTTTCAATGTGTTTTTTCCATGTCAGATTTTCATGAATAAAAACTCCTAAAAAATTTGTAGCCGTTACTCTTTTAATTTGCATGTCATCTATAGAAAGAGCAGGCAATTCACTCGGTAGAAGATACTTTTTGTAGCATGGATGAAAAAGAGACCATTTTGTTTTGTCAATAAATTAGATGCTTCATAGAGATTGTTTATGTATATGAGAATTAGTAGTAGTCCTAGGACAGACCCTTGGGGAACTCCACATGTTATATCTAACAATTTTGATTTCGATGATACGTCATAGTGAACAAATTGCTTTCTATTGCTTAAATGCGGTAGTGGTGTAGTGGTAGAGCGCTCGCTTCATAAACGAGTGGTTCCGAGTTCGATCCCCACCACGTCCCTGGTAGTACCGCGCTCAACTCGTTTCTCTGCGCAGCGGCCTTGTTCGTCAAGGTTCGTGTTTCGGAGTTATAGAGTTGAGAGAGGGTTATAGCCACAAAATAAGTAGCCTCCTTGTCTGTAGTGGCCTTCTCGGCCTTGAGGAGGTGAAGTAAAATAAAAAATAAATAAAAAAAAAAAACTTTTAAAAGCTTCAAAACATTGCCAGAGATTCCATAATATTTAAGTTTTTTAAATAGAATTTTATGATCAATCGTATCGAAGGCTTTAGACAAGTCAATAAAAAAGCCTAAAGTAAACTAGGAATTTTCAAATGATTCAGTAATATATTGTGTTATTTGAAGTATAGCGTGTTTAGTGGAGTTATTTTTTTTAAATCCATATTGATTTTTGTATAAGATATTATTTTGAGAAAGATGATTCAAAATTTTATTATAAAGAATTCTCTCTATAATTTTTGAGAAAACAGAGAGAACAGATATTGGACGGTAATTACTAACATTAAGTAAGTCTCCACCTTTAAATATTGGTGAAACTCTAGCTATTTTTAATACATCAGGAAAAATTCCTTGTTGAATTGAACATTTAAATATTTTAAAAAGGATATTTTTTATGATATCATAAAAATAAATAACAATGTTTCCATTGATATCATCAGGACCGACTGCTTTATTTTGCTTTAGCATTTTAAAAGCTCTATCAAATTCATCAAAAGACAATTCAAAAGAATTTAGACAAGATACTAAATGAAAACTACATCTGTTTATTATTTTATTTATATTAGAAATTTTCTTTGCTAAATTTGGTCCAACTGAAGTAAAGAATTCATTCATTTTATTTGCTACCACACTCGGATCATAAAATATTTTATTATCAATTTTAAATGCTCTAGGTAGAGAGCTAGCTATCAATTTCTTACTGCTTGTAATTTCCCTTATAATTTGCCATGTTTGCTTTGAATTCTCTTTATACTTTTCTAGTAAATTTATATAGTATCTTTTTTTTAAATTTTTTCTTTGGATTTCAAATTTTTTAGCGTAATTCTTATAAATTGTCTAACTTTCTAATGTTCTCGTTTTTAAATACTTTATATACTTTTTTTTTTTTTTTTTTTTTTCTGTTTTATAACATAAGAATTTTACTACTTTGTGCTTCATAAAAAAAAAAAGTAAAAACAGATAGGGGCTCAAAGAAGATGAGGATGACAGTAAGTCATCTCAATCTTTTCATAGAGCCCCTTTAATAAAATTTCAATAAAATATCGTATTACGTAATACGTAATAAAATTTCATAAAACATTTCGTAAAATATATACGTAATAAAATTTCAATTAAATCGTAGAAAATATCGTAATAAAATGCGTAATTCGCTAATATGATTGTTAAACAACAACAACAAGAACAAAAAAAAGTAGAGTGGTAACATTAACTAAAAAAGTTTCTTAAATTTTAAAAATTTCTTTTTTTGTTATAAACTTGAATGAACTTAACGAATTCACCGTACCTTTGAATCCTTTGTGAAAGGTATTCCATGCTTTAGGACCTCGATATGAAATGCAATTTTCTGAATATTTATTTATTATCCGAGGCAGTTTATATGTGTTCAACATATTTGCTCTAAGATTATAGTTGTCATTTTTATTTAATTCAAACTTATTATTAAAGCTTATAGGAGAGATATTGTAATTGTAACGATACATGAAAATTAAATGCTGATAGACATTTATTTCAAACACATTCATCATTTTCATATCACTCATTAAGGGTTTAGCGTGTTCACGCCTATCCTTATAGTAAATGATTCTGCAAGCATGCTTTTGCAAACTATACAGCTTTTTAAGCTTTGATGTTTGAGTACTTGCCCATGAAATGTTTGCATAGCTGATGAAGCTATGTATTAGCCCAAAGTAGATTAATTTCAGACTTTGTGTATTGACGTAAGAGCGAACTCGATACATCAAACCTATGATTTTAGTGACTTTTGACTGGATGTATATTATATGAGGAACCCAGGATAAATTTTCATCAACAATGGTTCCTAAGAATTTTATATTGGATTGCTTTTTAATTAGTTTATCATTTAGGAATAGTTTAGGCAATTTGGGAGGAAGATTTTCCTCTTGTATTTTTTTATGGAATAGTATATAATTTGTTTTCTCAGCATTAAGCGAGAGTTTGTTAGCTTTAAACCAGTTGTTTACTTTAACTAGTTCTATATTCATGTCAGCATATAATGTTTTGATATTATTGTTGGTAAGAAATAGATTCGTGTCATCTGCAAACATGACTGAATTCAGTTTTAAGGATGCATTACAGAAATCATTTATATATATTATATAAGAAAAAGGAGTGGACCAAGAATTGATCCCTGCGGGACTCCACACAAAACATTTAATACTCCAGAATAGACATTATGTACATATTGCTTTCTGTTGGTAAGATAGCTTTTAATCCAATAATAGGTTTTATTAACTATTCCGTAATGTCTTATTTTATCTAAGAGAATGCAATGATCCACTGTATCAAATGCTTTTGATAAATCAAGAAATACTCCTAAAGTACTTTACTAATTCAAAAATTGCATGCTCAGTTGAAAGATTTTTTTGAAAGCCAAACTGATTTAGATAAAAGAAATTGTTTTTAATAAAGTAAACATAGATTCTATTATAAACTACACGTTCGAAGAGTTTTGAAAATACAGAAAGTATTGATATGGGTCTGTAGTTTGTAATATCAGAATGATCGTTACATTTGTATAAAGGAGTTACTTTTGCTAATTTAAGTACATCCGGAAAAATCCCAGAATTTAACGAGAGCTTTAGTATATGTATCAGAGATCTATTAAGACTGTGTTTGTTTGAAATAATTGTATCACTAGGTATCTCATCAAATCCTGATGCTTTTTTTTTTTTAAAGAGGCAAAAGCTGCCTTTAATTCGTCATAGCTTAATTCGTAATCATGCATTATAACGTTATTCGTGGGTTTAAGATAGTTTTCAAAAGATTTAGGTGTTGGTATTATTTTTTTGACAAGGTTCGGACCAATACTAATAAAATATTTATTAAATTCATCCGAGATGAGTTTTTGACAAAATATATCGTTGTTATCAATAACAATTCGTTTAGGTAGTGAAGGTAAATTTAGTTTTTCTCTTCCCATTATTGCATTAAGAATGGACCATGTTTTTTTGCTATCAAATTTACATTTGTTAATTTGATTACTGTAATATTTTTTTTTGGCATTTTTAATGAAATCTTGATAAAAATATTTATAACTTTTGTAATTTTTTTCATTATTATTGTTTTTATTTTTCAGAAACTTATTGTAAAGTTTTTGCTTTTTTTTTGAGCACTTTAATAATGATTTATCCATCCACGGATTAGCCAGACCTTTTGACTTAATTTTTATAATCTCTTGCGGACAGGTTTTGTTAAAATACTCCAAAAATGTACTTAAAAAAGCATTGTAAGCTTCATTAGTATCTTGACATTTATATACGTCGTTCCAAGTTTCTTGTTTTAGCCTACTTGTTAACTTATCAGTGTTACTCATTTTTAAATTTCGTTTTTTCAAATGTATGGTTTTAGATTGACAGTTTTATAGTTTGATTGACTTAGATTTATAGTTTTTTATTTTTAAGAATATCGGGAAATGATCGCTTATATCTGCCTTAAATATACCGGTTTCGAATGTCGTTTCTAAATAATTGTTAATTAAAATATTGTCTATTGCTGTTACCGAAATTTTTGTTACACGCGTTGGTTTATTAATAGTTGACAAGACGTTAAACTTAAAAAGCATATCAAAAAAAGATTTTATTTTTGGAAATTTAGTGTTAGATAAAACATCAAGATTTATGTCACCAGTAATATATAATGTCTTATTTTCTTTATTTATTTTCTTAATTGTATTTTTGATAAAAGTTTCGAAGTTTTTTATTTTTCCACTCGGTGGAAGATAAACACATCCAATTAAAATATTTCGGTATTTTTTATTAATAATTTCAATGAAGAGACTTTCATAATTATTATTTAAAAAGCATAATATGTTTTTTATTTTAAAAACATACTTTTCTAAAAGATAAATTTCTAATCCTCCTCCTTTTTTCCCACTTTCTCGTGATTGACTAATTAGTTTGTAAAATGGTAAAATATAATTAGAATTTGATTCAAGAGAACTTTCTGTATCATGCCATGTCTCTGAAAGAGATATGACATCGAACGTGTAGTTTAAAATATATTTAAAATTCTTTAAGTTTATCAAAATTTTGCTGCATGCTTCTAATATTTATATGCAATACAGAAAATGAGCAATCATCTTTTAATACTTTAAAATCAAAAGAATCAATATACGGTGTATTAATTAAGTTCATTTGAGTTTCTTGAAAATTATTTCTGTTTTCTTGAGATAGGTTATTCATAAAGTTGTCCTCAAAAAGATCTAAATTTAAATTGTTAAAATCTAGTTTTTGTGAAAAAGGCGCCATTTTAATATTATACAACTTTTGCTTAACTTTAGAACTTTTTTTGAGATCTTTTGTAATCCATGTTGACGTGAAATCTTTATTTTTTTTTTAGTATTTTATGTCGAGGAAAATTAATATCATAAATTTCAAAAAATGTTTTTAAAAACGAATTAAAGGCTAAATTAGCATCATTAGAATCTATGTGTTTCCAATGAAGTAAAGATAATTGTTCCTTAAAAGCAATGCAATTCGCTTTTGTAAAAAAACGTTTAATGAAAGGTTTATTTTGGTGTAGAATTTTTTTGATGTCTGTTTTTATGGAGAAAAAAATAGGAAAGTGATCAGAGACGTCACTTTTAATAATACCTTTTTTTAAAGATAAGTTAAAAACGTCAGTTGTAATTATATTATCTAATATAGATGATGTTGATGATATTCTGGTAGGCTTATTTATTAACGGTATCGCTCCAAATTCAAAAATGCCATTGTAAAATTTTTTAATGTTATTATTAGTATGGTATTCAAAGCAATTTAAATTAAAATCACCAATTATGTAGTTTAATTTCTTTTCGTGGATACTTTTTTTAATTATGTCATTATGTAAAAATGCATTAAAATTCTCAACTACGCCATTTGGTGGGCGATAACAACAACTTATAATTATATTTTTGGTATTTTTTGTTGAAATTTTAATACTTAAAACCTCTTTATCGCCATCAGAAATACTTATGTCTGGCCTGTTAATAAACCGCAAGCATTAATTCACGTAAAAAAATAACACCACCACCTTGCTTTTTATTTTTACGCGCTAAAGAAATTAAATTAAAACCTGGAAGATGGAGATTTTAATTTTTAACATCGTCAGAGCAGCACCATGTCTCTGTAATGCATATTATGTTAAAAATATTAGAAGTTTTTTATATTACTACGAAAAGTATCAAAATTTTTTTTTAAGCATCTTATATTAAAATGAATAACATAAAGAAAATCCCCTTTAAGAAAATCTTTCAATTCATTGTTATAAAAATAAGAGCAGTTTTGCAGAGCACTTGCTTCACTAAAATAATTTATGTCAGGATCGGATTCATTATCAAGTAAAAAATCATTAGTTTGAAAAAAGTTAAATGAACTTGACTCGAAACTATTTTGTTGGTTTGAATCCATTTTAGAATTTAAATAATTTTATAACTATGAAATGAAAATAAAATTTACTTAAAATCGCGTGTGAATAATTTATTATAAGTAACCTTAGCATACTTTCTTTTTCTTCGTAGCTCTTTTGCTTCCGCGAATAACTTTCTTCTTATTTCCATAGTACGTTCTCTAAAATCTTCGTTTATAAACACATTTTCATTCCAGAGTTTAGCCTTTACGAACTTTTTCAAAATCGCGTTCTTGTCTTTAAAGCTTAAAAATTTTACAACTATTTTTTCTTTTATCACCCAACTCCTTTTTTCCAACACTATGAGCTCTTTCAATTTCAATATTACCATTTAGTCCCATTTTATCTTTTAAAAGTTTTTTTATTTTAACTTCAGTTTCTTACCAGGTTTCAATTTCCTTTTCTTCTATACCATTAAATCTCAAATTATTTCGGCGACTCCTATCTTCAAGTTCAGCCAACTTATCTTTAATAACGTTATCATTTCCTAAATTCATTTTTGCATCGTTCAATTGATATGACATTGTTTTTTTTTTTAGAAACATCTATTTCCGATAGTAAACTTTCATATTTGTCACTGACAAATTCAACACTTTTTTTCAGGTCACTTACTTCATTTTTTAAACTTTTATTTTCTTCCTGCATAACTAATATTTTGCTTTCTAGTTTATCAATCCTGTCGCTAAATAACTTCATTATTGTGTTTTCGTGAATATCCATAATTTCTTTTAATTGAGCAATAGTAATATTTGTATTAAGTTCAATAATAAACACGTCCGTTCGCTTTAATAAAAACAAGTCCGTTCGTCGCTTTAATAAAAACACGTCCGTTCATTTTCCGTCCGTCTGTTCGCTTTAATATATATATATATATATATATATATATATATATATATATATATATATATATATATATATATATATATATATATATATATATATATATATATATATATATATATATATATATATATATATATATATATGAAAAAAATTTAGTTTTTCGGAAAAAATTTCTCAAAATCCAGAAACTCAGACTTTTTTATGTTGAACAATTTTTAAGAAAATCACCAAAAAAATAAAAAATACCTTGACGAGTCTTATAAAGCGTTTAGAAGTTTAAAATAAAGGCCGTTTTCCACAAGACGAAAAATTCGCGCGAAGCGAATTTTTTCGCTACGACGAAACGCTGTTTTGATTTTCACTTACTTTCTTTCGCGCTACTTTTTTTTCGTTGTCAACAATAAAAATGGCAGCAATAAGTTTACGCTGTATGTTTAACTGAAGGCAGTTAATACTTTTTTAGCATACTTTCTACTTTGAAGCATGTGAAAATTTCTTTCCGTGCATTAATATTAACATTTCTGCCTTTATATGTAAGATGTGATATTATTTTGTAATATAATCGTTTAATATAAGGTTTTTTTTTTACAAGAAAGTATAAGAAAATAAAAATGCTAAACTCTGATATGAAAATTTCTATTAAAAACTATTACTGCAAGAACGAACAGCAGGTTTAACTCTATAAAGAATTTTTCACAAAAAGGTTTATCTTCGTGTGGCCATTTGAAGATAAACATTCTTATGAAGTGTAACTTTTGTAATTGACAGTGTGAAAATTTATATTTGTAAAATTTCGATTTAGCTTTATATATAAGTCTGGTCATTTTTTTATGTAAGTCTTGCCCCTTGTTTGATAAATTTACTCATGCTAGCCAATTTTCAGAGTAAATTCCTATAAAATTAATAAGAACGCCAGGTTAAGAATTTTTTTTTTTGTTACTTTAAAAACATGTTTTCGCTTTTTTTTTAATGTTGACATCACGTGATATAATTCAAAATTTTATTGGTTTTCGCTTATGGCGGTTCGCAAAAAGTCGAAATGAATCCGACTTTTTTTTTCGCTGCAGCGAAACGCTGTAGCGAAAAAAAATCAGTATAATCGCCAAAAATGTTTAATCCGTGCATGCTTAACGACGAAAAAACTCGCTTCGCGCGAATTTTTCGTCTTGTGGAAAACGGCCTTAATGCACTTTTTAAAATTAAAATAAAATATTTCTAAAACAAATAAGCCTCATTAGTTATTTATAATTTATAGCCCCCGTTCATTTTTAACCGCCATTAATTAATGTAATTTACAACCCCTGTTATTTTTTCAAAACTCAAAATAAACAAATAATAATAAACAAAAAAATAAACTAAATAAATAAATCAACTCCACGCAAAAATGTTTTTTATCCAAACTCAGCTAAAAAAGCTATAAATATATCTATCAATCTATATCTAGCTATAAATATATAAATATATATACCCACAAGCAATACTAATGTATAAACATTTTATCATTTTTAATTGTTCCTCAATAATAACTCTGGGCTTTCTTCATTCACGTACAAATCTTTCGCCTTTTACTAAAGATTTCCGTGGAGAAGGCCAATCAAATGAGTGTATAATAATTTTTCATAGGCTTGCTAACGCGAGCCATTTGTCCCAAAGGTAAATAACTAGATTCAAGACTTTCAAGTTATTCTTTCGTTTTTGAATTGCTAAAAAGGATTAATGTGTAGAGCTAAATACGTGGTTTTCAATTCGTCCGATTCATCGACTAGCCTTAAAAAGGTCGAATGGCCTCGTAACCCACGAGATTTTACGTAAAAATTCTACAATTTGTTATTCAAATTAGTAGAAGAGCATTTGAAAGGAAGTTCACGCCTCCTTTTATTACCGATTTTTTAAAATTTGCTCAGAGGTGGTAATGTGAAATAGAGCGTGAAAGTTATTGTAAATGTTGAGCATAATATATATATATATATATATATATATATATATATATATATATATATATATATATATATATATATATATATATATATATATATATATATATATATATATATATATATATATATATATATATATATATATATATATATATATCCTACGCGAAATCGGCCGTAGAAAACAAAAACTGGAGGTGACGGTATCAGTCCATTTGTGCTTAAAGCATGCGCTGATGCGGCGGCTACCCCACTCGCCATAATTTTTCAGAAATCGATGGACCAAGGTGTAGTCCCAAATACGTGGCTCTCGGCAAATATGACGCCACTGTTCAAAAAAGGCTCCAGACTCGTCCATCACCTCAGTACCATGCAAAATAATGGAAAAAATTGTTAAAGAAAAGATCATGCAGCACCTTGTAGCTCATAAACTTATTGCCGATTGCCAGCACGACTTCGTCAATAAAAAAGCCTGCGTCACGAATTTGCTTGAGGCCATGGACTTTCTGACCTACAACGTTTCTCGCAAGCTTCCAGTAGATGCTCTTTTTCTTGACTTTGCCAAAACCTTCGATAAAGTCCCTCACAGAAGATTACTTCAAAAACTTGAATCCTACGAAATTGAAGGTAACGTTCTTAACTGGATAAAAGCTTTCCTTTCAAATAGATCATAGCGTGTCATATTAGGTAATACGTCATCCACCTGGGTAAAAGTTACCAGTGGCGTTCCGCAAGGTTCAGTGCTAGGTCCTACGCTGTTCATAATATTTATTAATGACTTACCCGAACACATCAGTAGCAAAAACTTATGTAAAATGTATGCAGACGATACTAAAATCCTGAGTGTCGTCAAAACCACTGAAGACAAAGCTCGTCTGCAATCCGATATAGATAGCGTTGTTACCTGGACTCGAACCTGGTTAATGGAACTCAACATCAAGAAATGCAAAGTCATGCATTTCAGTAAGTTCAATGTTTCCCCACACATTTATTTAATGAACGAGTACGACGCTAACGGTAGCGTCACTAGAACAGTAATCGAATCTTCAACATCCGAAAAAGATCTAGGCGTTCAAATTTCCAACAACTTAAAATATGAGAGGCAAGCACAAATAGCCGCTGCCAAGGCTAATAAAGTCCTCGGGACATTGAAAAACACGTTTATAAGCAGAGGTACCAAAATATGGAAAAAACTTTACACCAATTATATACGCCCACATCTCAAGTTTGCAGTTACTGCCTGGTGTCCGCATCTTGAAAAAGACATAAATGTCATAGAACGTGTTCAGCATCGGGTTACCAAAGTACCGCACGAAATAAAACGCTTCAATTACGAGACAAGATGCATCAAACTCGATCTCACCTCTCTATTAAATAGACGTTTACGCGGCGACCTCATTTAAAAATATAAATTCGAAAACAGTATCGACTAAATTAGCTGGCATATAGATCCGCCCAACATCCCACCTAGCTACGGTCATCGCAAGCGCTTTCATCGTGAAATGGACAACAACTGCCTCGTTCGCTATAATTCCTTCAACAACCGCGTCGCTCACCTATGGAACGCATTACCTAACGTAGTAGTCAGTGCTACTAGTGTCAATCGCTTCAAAGCAAAATTCGATCAGCTTTAACAATTACTACAGCGCATCAACTTCCGTGCAATTTTGCACGAGCTAGCACGGCTAGCTGTTGATGGGCTTACGGAACACGCCCGCTCCGTGTAATTTAACTTTTAACTTAAAGAATTTCCTTAACCACTTTGTTAGGGCTTTGCAACGTGCATGTTCTAAATGTTCTGCAGAGATTCCATACGCATCTTTGGTCTTGTTTAATTTAAGGCAAGAGATAGCCGTTTTAATATTTTCATCTGATATTATTAGTATATCAAATTTGGTATAAAGTGGAACTTGAAAATTCGAAGCGGTATGCGTCACTGCTTTAGTATTTACCGTTTTTCGAAACAATCGGCAAATTCTTTAATGATTGATTGCTTGTCCTTTTTATTATTTATAGTAAATATATATATATATATATATATATATATATATATATATATATATATATATATATATATACATATATATATATATATATATATATATATATATATATATATATATATATATATATATATATATATATATATATATATATATATATATATATATATATATATATATATATATATGTATATATATATATATATATATATATATATATATATATATATATATATATATATATATATATAATTCATGCTTACGTAGAAAGTTAATTCGTAGAAACTTTATTACCTAAAAACTTAATATTATGTTTATAAATAAACTAATTTGAACCAACACAGAGCAGCCGTGGCGCAGTGGTTAGAGTTCTGGCTCAGAACCCGGTTCGACGCCAGCTCTAGCCCAACAAGTGACATTGGAACGGAAGAAGGCGTGAACTTCCTATTAAATGCTCTCCTGCGGTGCTCTATGATAAGACCGTAAGGACTTCTGGAAGCACCTAAATACATAAAAAAAAAAAAAAAAAAAAAAAAAAAACACCGATTGCGAAATCTATTACTAAAGAAAAAAAGAATACCAAAAAAAACAAAAATGTCAAAAATGATTTTATTTTATGAAAATGGCTGTGTTTTTACTTTTTTTTGTTGATTTAATTTGTGAGAGATCTATTATTTATTTTGATTCTAGTACTTATAAGGTTTTACTATCTATCTACTCAGATAGAAAGTCTTTCGCCTGATCTAAGAAAGTAGACACATCGCGACCTTAGAATTATCTTGTGCTATCTCCAATTTTTGAAAAAATTGAGATTTTATTATTTTTGAATATTTTAGCATTGTGTTGTTCTACTTTAATTATATTGAAAAAAAATGAAACTTTTAACACGGTATTGCATGCAATATTGCATTGTTCTATCTCCTTAATGAGCAAACTTGAAAATATTATCTTGTTCTATCTCCAATCAACCAATCATATTACAATTACAAAGTTGTTCGGAATAATTTTATCAGTTTTGTTGTTTTCAAAATGGCAACTGCAAATATTGACCAAGAAAGGGAACCTGC